CAAATCATTCCCCTATCGTATCTTACCAGTTTTATCTACCGTCGATTTTCTATTTCGATTTAATCCTGATTTTATACCCCGTCGGTTCGATCTAATCAATGAAGGTAATTACATTTGTGCAAATACTGCAAATGTTGGATATAATCAAATAATTGAATACAAACTTAATAAATAATTAAAATTATCAAAACGTTGAACATTATAACTGCTGAAATTTTTATAAATTAACTTAAGTAGAAAGAAAATATTTAATGTATTTTAAAGATTTTAAAATAAAGAAATGTGTAAAATATGCATACATTCTATAAAAAATTCAGAAAAAATTTTCAAAATAAGTAACTATTAAAATAACAGTACATAAATATTAAAATAAACTATATAAAAGTGAAAAACTTCAAATCTTAACCTGAGATTAAATAATTATAAAAATACTTGGTAAAAATTTATTAAGATCCAATTAACAGGCTCTAATATATTTATAATTGCGCTTGCATAATTTAATATTAATAACATTATTATAACAAAACTTTAAAAAAATTTCTAAAAGTTTATATTAATTGAACTATAAATAAAAATTTATATTAATTTAACATAATTAAAATAAAAAATAATAAAATCAAAGTTAAAAAAAATAAATAAAAACTGCTATCCTTTTGCAAGTCTGCTATCATTTATAGCGATTATATAACTGAACTATTTATCATTATCACCAAGTTTTCTTATATATTAAAATAAAAACAGGGTATTCCCGGTCTTTAGCAACCGCTAATCATGCATAACGTTCAATAATACATGCAAAATACGTTAAAGTAAACTTGACTGCTTGATAAGGCACGGTATCGCAACTTTTTCAAGGACTGACGGTAGTTGCTAAATAAGAGTAATTATGGCCGGGAAACCCCAACATAGTAAAAGCTTATCAAAATATTAAAAAAGAAGATTAATCGTTATCTATCAGAGTGTGTAAAACTACATTTCTCAGAAATATATGAATTCGATTGTAAACTACATTATCTGTAGGTATAGTGTACTTTTAAATTAATAAGTAAAGATAAAAAGATACAGACAAAACACGAGAGCACGAAATAGACGTAGGAGACTTATTAATTTAATTAAAATCAATAATAAATAAAAATAATTATAACTATCTGTAAAACAAAACAATAAGTAATTAAACAATATATTTTTCAGTATCCATTATGTCTTCGATATTTCTTCTTTTGCGAGTCGTTCTGTTTACGAATGTTTAATGCACATTTTGCACAATCAGCGATATATGTTGCTGCTTTTATCTTGAAAAATATTCAGCATGTACTTAATAAAATATAAACTATTCGCGGAAAATTACAAAGTGCACGAAAAGCAACGAGAGATCAATATGCCAAGCCAGAGGCAACGTTCAATGTGCATGTGTGTATTCGGTGTCTATTAACGAGGCGTTCATAAACGCACGGTCGCGATCATTCGGCGTTTCGCAAGTGATTGTAGCCGTTTGCAAAATTAAATCGGCAAACATTCGAGGCCACTTCAGCGCGCGTAACGGAACAGCTGACACACACGGAACACCCGCGAGTTTCCATATTCCGCAAGAGAGATTAATACGACTAAAATTTCGCAATTCCGTAAATTCCCGTTTTTAAATTCTGTTTATCGCATTACAGTTTCGAACGCGATTTCACGTTACGGCGCTATTCTGCGAGAGCATGGTTTACGCATGAGTATCGCTGGTCAGTCGGTGGCAGTAGCGAATCATCCGCGTATATATTAGTGAAATGGAAAAAAAAATGAATAAGAGAATAAAAATAAAAAGAACGTGCTCGAACGACCCATTTAAATAGCGTGAATTTTACACGGTTTAAATTGAACGTTTTGTACAGAAGTGGTTTTGCGTTGGCGAAATGTATATATGCGCTTATCTCCCCTCTTATAGTTGCAACATCCTGTTGTTACACGATCTTAAAAATCATCAGTATCACAGTACGCGCGTAATTATAAACCAGGCTTTGTTCTGCTTCCGCCGCTTCTCAATTACAAATAAAAACAGAATGCGAAATGCAGAAGCGTATAGATATTTGTTAATTGTTAGGAAAATCACGCAAGAGTCAATGTCAAAGTCATTTTGAGATATATATGTATTGTATAAGGTTTCAGATATTAGTGATTATTAGCAATAATCATTAAGAAGGCATTAATTAATATATAAAATAATTCCTATATTTAAATAATATCATGATAAATAAAATGATCACTTAACTTTTTGTCCAGCAATTTATTTAATTTTGCTAGTGTATTAACTTACTACAGTAATATTGATTACTGAATAAGAAACATAATACACGTTTATTCTTCTCCCTCCTAAGATACAGAATATAGCATAATCGGTTTTATTTTGAAGATGAAATCATCAAGATTAACGAGAAGGAAAATAAAATCGCAAGCACAACGTAAACTTATACTTTAAAAATCAAAAAATTTCCGCACAAGAATTTTCTGAACAACCTAAAATTCGGGATATTCTCAACTCGACCGCTTTATCGGGAGCGCGATATTTCGGTGAAACAGTGCATATACGCAGTGCCTTCTAAATTGGAGTCCACCGCGATTGTGCTCGACTGAAGAAGAACCGACGTGGAAACCGAAGATAGCGAGTTCGATTTTCCGTCGTGAGCTATTTAGGCAGAAAGGAGATTGTCGCGGAGGTTAATTTCCGTCTGCATAACAACTGCGATAAGTCTACTACATGGCGACCTTCACGGTCACTGAAACAGAGGCGCACGTCACCAAGACTTACGTCAGCGATCTGTTCCTCGAGGAGAGTCAAATCGATTATAACCAGGATTGGATCGTTATCTTGTCTACTGATAAGTAGCACAAATACAGCAAACTGTAATTTCTCGATGCGAAAAATCCTTGTTCTGTGACCGGTTCTAAGTACGATTATTATTAGAGTTTTATAGAATATGCAAATCTCTAATATTCGAATTCCTTTTAAAAACATTTTAAAAATCCGTATAATATAATTTTATAATGCAGAGAGATTTTGACTAATATTTTAATATATTCGTTCCCCCTAAAAATATTATTATAGAGATAAAAATCCGCACATATTATACAAAAATTTTACTCCGTTTATAAATCATATTCTTAAAATATGTTTCGTACGCACTAATTTATACGCATGCAAAATAAGAATATCATAAAGTAAACCAAGCAAAATTATCGCATGCTTTCTGATGCATGTGTGCCGATGTTTGGTTAAATGATGAAATGACATCACGCGTCTGCTTCATAGAAAGATGTAAATCGAAATCTAAAAATAATCCGAATCTCTCTCCTGAATAAAGTTATATAATTTTCCGAACAAATTATAATCCGGGAATTATTACACAACGAATCAACGAAGTGCGCTATATAGACGCTTCCTGACGATAGCATGTCTCGCGATAAAAAAAAGAGCATGATGAAACAGCATATGAACGAGTGGCGGAGAAATTTTTCCATTGTGATCGCAGAAGGCACGAAAAATACGGCAATAGATTCGATGTCCGTTTTGAAATCGACATGTTTCCTCTGAATCGCGAAAATTGATGAAAAACCAAATGCCACTAAAAATCGATACTGTGTTCTTCAAGAAAAAAATAGAAAAAATAGAACTCACTAGAAGGACGAAAACGTCGTGATCAATGAAAATGATAAGAATGTCAATCGCTTGGAATGAGAATCGTATCGACGAACCAAACGTAAAAGAGATATAATAGAGATCCATAAGGATTTCAATTTGGGGGTTTATACTATTTAAGCTCGGAGCAAAATATAGATATCGTACTGAATCCACACGAGATCTATCGGTTGGAAATGTACTGAGTTCAACTCTCCGCCAATTTCGATTTCGAACGTTATCATACAGTATGAAAGTTCCCTTTGAAGCATGTTACCGAAGCGAGAGAAATAAGTATACTCTGTATATACTCTATATATAATATCTCTCAATTTCAAAATAAAAATATAAAAATATTGAAGATTATAAAACTTTTGAAATATCGTTCAATGAAGACGATATTACGTTTCTCTTTAAAATAACTCTATTGGAGAAATAAAGCTAATATCGGTGAACAAATTCAACGTATTTGCGGATCGTTAATTGCATATTTAAACGGTTCACTGTAGCATGTGTTTCTTCTTTAAATATTAATTCGCATATTCAATTTATAAGAGAGATCAATTTGAGCGATCTCCGCACTTCTTAACTTCACGAAATGAATGATGAAATAGAATTTAATTAAAGTCAAAGCGATTTTCCTCGCTGTAATGTCAAATTGTTCTACACGAGAATAGAATCTTCTCTAACTCGAATTTGCATTCAAATTTACTGCAGTTGATAATGTCAAGTTAAATAAACTTGTAATTTTAACCGGGATGTTGTATACTAATCGAGCCGCCACAACTGGCGTAGATCGTTTGTTGCCTGGAATAACGTTGCCATTAAATCTCATCGTGCCTCATTTCAAGCGCATTGCATATAATTCACCTTCGCGATGATATCATTCTTGTTTATTTCACCGCGTGGCTTACGAAGCTGGCGCTTCGATTTTCTCTCAACGATTCAATTAACAAACATTCAATACCTTTACTTTTTAATTTAATTTAAACGCTGCTCCATTAATTAAAGAAAACTATCGCATTACACAAACCAAAACATATATTTGGATCAATTAATCTCGTTTGAATAATACTCATCATTACTCGTCAATAATCCCATCTCATAACCGTTCCATTTTCCCATCACAGTCGATTAATTAAACGATATCAATACAATAATTATCAAAGTAGCTGTATCGGCAGATGTTCGTTTCAGGCAAAAAACGTCAAACCGTGTTTGCACTCGGTCGTGCAAAAAAAATTTTTTGCGACTATCCAGAAGCGCACAATGATCGCGAAAATAATATTAAAAAAAAGAGGGATCCAGTCCCAATCTGGCCTGGATCTCTCGTGGCACTGACCTTGCCCAAATAGCGAAATCCATGGTTGTCCGCAACTCGCCTGGCCGCTTCCTCTCCTCCATCGATGTGTGCCGCCCACTGGTTGGTGTACGCGCGCGTTCGACCGCCGAGAGTCAACAGGGCCACGACCGCCAGTCCGAAAATCCGCCACGTGCACATGATAGCTCCTCCGCTGCGCCGACGACGACGATCGCCACCGGCTGCTCCAGTTTCGCCACCCCCGCGGGCCACCGTTATCATCCACTACTATATATATAGATATCCACCACCAACACCACCGCCACCGTCGCCACCGCTTCCACCACTCGCCAGGGCAGCAGCGACACGATGGTAACACCGCGTCACCACGACAAACACCACTGCAGTCGTCACGATGCACCACGGTTGCCGAAACGGAAAAGAAGAAGGATCCACAGCCTCCGACAGGACTACTTTATGTATGACCTCTCTCTCTCTATCTCTTTTGTTCCCTGCTGCGGCGATTCTTCTCGACCGATCCTTCCGTTCTTTCTCTGTGTGAGAGCTCCCTTTTACGGACTGCTCACGTGTACACGCGGACGATGATCCGGGAAAACTCGATCACTCACATACACACCCACACACGCGCGTCACGCAGGCTGCACCCACGCACGTCTCGCCACCTGCGAATCAACCGCTTGCGAACGACTGAATCGCCGGCGGCGTGTGTCACTCGTTTTAAGTACCGAACCTCCACCACGCCGCACACAGTGTCAGCCGTTGACTCCTCCGTCGCTATCGTCCACGTCGACGTCGCCGTGACGTCGTCGCCGCCACTGCCGCCGCCGCCTTCGGTCAACGGGCAGGAGCAGCAGCGGGAGAAGAAGGAGGCAGTCGTCAAGTCATGTGGCCGTCGACGAGTGGGGAAAACGGAATGATTCTCGCGATGACAGCGTCGCGAGTACAACCACGAACCACGCGGATGTCCGCCGTCGCGCGCGATCACTGCGGCGATCGCGAGTGACCTTCCCGATTCGCGGATATTCACGCCACGCGGACATCCAACGCGACCTTGTCCTCCACGCCTACCGCACGCTGAGTTTCACACACGGGGGGTCTCAAGAAGACCAGAGATTTGTCATCGCTTTCTCTCGCGCGGTATATCCTCTATTATACAGTTTATTCAAACTGAGTTAGCTATATATCTAACTGAGCTAGCCAGATCTGTTAGGTATCAAATTGTCGCATCTAATTCTTCCGGTTAATAAAAAATCTCACGTCCGATCTTGATCTTCGTCTTGATTTTCGTCCATCGACTTTCATAGTTTACGTCCGTTTGTTGAAATCTTTCATGTCTTCAGCTCAAGGTGACTGTTTCGCTATTGGATCTCCTGTGTTTCTCGATCGCCTCTTCTCGAGCGTAGCAGAAGAAGTGTGCAGCTTCGCCGACGTGGAATTTTTCGCCGACACGTCTCAATGACTCGCGCGCGACGTCGTCAGCGTTCCGTTCCTCACGCGTCTATCATACCTCCAGAATTCCTCCTCTTACGCCCTTTTCTTCGGGTGTCAGCAAAGCATCTGGTCAGATCCTCTTTCCGCGCATCTCAATCGCTCGCCCTTCGTCCTGTCAAACGTACGATCCGTCGTTACAGGGATGCCCTCATGATCTTGACATTCTCTCGCACGCCCCCTCCTTTCGAGCACGTCGACGAGTCGATGCCTCGACAGACGCCCAACTCCATGAAACTTCTCTTCGTATCTTGATTTCTTTTTTCGAAAGAAAAAAAAACGAGATTCTCAATTTTGTTTTGTCGTGCTCTTCGAGGGCGACGATGCTCGGTCGCCGGAGAAGTGAATGGCCAACCACTCGAACGAGGTCACGACGCGTAGCTGACCGAGAGGTCGATCACGTCATCGAGCACCGCATCGTTCCCTTGGGCGCACCGCAGGAGACGAGGTGTACCAGCCAAGGTCCTGGCTGAGTTAGACGGCTGAGTTAGACGGGAGATACCTCTTTGCTTTGGAACGGGTCTCGGAGCTGCAAACGATGTTAAGAGAAATTGATTAGTTGAAGTTTCCGGCAAAAATTTTCAACTGGTTTCAGGTACTTGAACTTGCTAAATCGCAGTTAAACTATATACGGAACACTTAAAGTACTTGATAGTCACGAAAATTAATTTCAAAGCAATTTCTGGTGCACGATGCGGTATACGCTATACGCTTGCTAAAAATCTGAGTTGGTCAGTTTTGATATATAAATTTTGATATCAACACACTCCAAAGAACTTTGAAAACTATACGAACTACAGGAAAATTAGTTTCGAGGAAGAGTCAACGGTTTGAAAACAGTTTAAAGTAGACACATGCAAACGCATAACTACACGAGTAGACTGGAGATACGTATCTAAAGACATTATCTATGTGCATCTCTTGGTATCTCGTAACATCATTCTCCATCGTTAACGATGCGTTACATCGCCAAGGACTCACGCTTTGTATTAGCGTCACGTTTGAGAAACGTTCGGCACAGTCAGCATTCTCGTACCGACAAGAAAAAAAAGATTTAGCCCAGCAAAATCCACGTCGGTTTACGGTGATTACGACGGCATGATGGAATAGTTTCGGCTCGTCGAAATTGTATTCGCCGCATAACGTGACCCGATTCCCCGTTATGGATTAGAGCTTAATTTTCGCTCGGCGATTTCGCGTTGCAGGAACGAAATCGCAATCGGAAGTAAGTGCAACGTTAATCGTCGTGATTCGTATCGAGCTTTTACATAACTCTCGTTACGCTACATAATTCACTCGATACTATCTCCATCAATTGTGAGCATTATGTCAGCAACAGAAAATTGCGTTTTAAAGGCATTAAAAATTATCATTTGAGATCATTTACTGCAATTATTGTTGTCACGGTGATCACGTAAAATAAGATTGATTTCCTATTTGTAAGGCGCATTTATTATAGTTAATTTATTATTGTCGCTCTTCGATTATTATTAGATTATACGTTGTACATGCACACTTATACATATATTTTTATATAAATAAATATATAACTATAAATATAAATTTTCTTTAATTATATTGCATTACAAAAATATATTTTGACAGTAATTTAAAATGTTCGTAAAAATATTATATTAATTTATCAAATATCTAGCAAAATAAAAATATTTAATTTCAAATCTTGTTTTATATACAAATGTCTTATAACTTACTTGAATTTTATTTTTTCTCATCTTATCAAAAAAAGAAACTGAAAGATATATGATAATAATATTGTCGTGAAATAATTTTCGATTACCTATTATAAATTGCAATCTAATTTTACTGCATCGTGACAAAAGTTCATATTTCTCGACACGGTCTATTCACTGTAGTTCTCCCTGCAAATATTATTTTGCAAGATTCTAACAATTTACGAAATCTACCTCAAAGAAGTGGAACTCATGCTCAGGCAATGTCTCTTGCGCGTGTTATTAGCGCGCTATAAATCTCCATAGTGAAATGAAGTGCCGCAAGTTCGCATTATCGTCACGTTCAAAGGACTTTTCGAATGAGTCAGCCTCCGGAAAAAGGACTCGACATTGGTCGGTACGGACGGTTGCAACCCGCAGGAACATCCAGCGGGCGCCGCGAGGAAATTGCATTCGCAAGTTGGTCTTCCACCAACCTTGTTTCTCTCTCTCTTTCTCTCTCTCCTCTTCTCTTTCCCCCTCGTCCCGTCAGAGTCGTGATAAAGAGAGAATAGAAAAGGGTTGCTAGAGAGGTGAATTAAATTTAAGCCAACTCGCGTCCTATCCAACTATCCCCTCCCCCGACCTCATCTCTGACACCATCTTTTCCCTTCTTTCACAATCCTCTCTCGCACTTTGTGTCGGGCTTCTCTTTGTCGTTCTATTCTCTTCATAGCTGAGTCGGCGCGGCCGACCAGCCGAGACGACAGCAACTGGCCCTCTTTTTAATTTCGAGATAAAAGAGGGCAAAACTGCCATTCGAGGGAAGCTGAATACAAGGGGTAATGGAGGGTCAATCAAGTCGAGTTATAAGTCCCGTCGGAGAGAAAGAGTATTCCTTTTTAAAGCGGATTTGATGAATTCGATCTCTTGACTAAAATGCGGCGAACTAAAACGAAATACTGCCAGATATATTTCGTCAGATATATATAATAATCGCCTTCACACTAGAAAATGATATCCACGAATCCATTTTAGATACTGCGAAGTACTTAAGTCTACCTGACTGCCGGCTCGATCTCGAAGACGATGACTCGCGATAGTTATTTTAGACTCTAGAGGCAGAAGAGCTGAGAAATCGATAAGAACAAATAAGGATCGTCCTTTAACAGAATCTTAATTTAAAGTTTACTTAAATATTAAACTTGAAAATTTAATCTGAATCAAATTTTCACCGGAGATATATTTAATGCACAGAATCGACGAATTGGTAGGAATTATAGCGAATATACACATTTCATAACATGAAATATTGCGTAGTATTAATTGTCTCTCTTTTCCGTTAATTTTTGTGTCGACACGTTTACTCGTAATATTTAACTTAATCCCTTATTTTATAAAAAATGTCAGTTACAATAATGTTTTTAAATTTTTAATCATAAGAATTATGTTTAAAATTGAAAAGTCAGAATATTATTAGTAATTTAATATTAACTTAACTATCATTATTAATAGAAAATGTATTCTAATCGTTACGAAAGCAATGCACAAATTTTTGATGACTAATAATTCAAGCTTGTAAAAACGTTTTAACTGCAACTAATATTTTAGTTATATTTATTTATATTTATATTTTAGTTATATTTAGTTATATTTATGCTTTATAGTTATAGGAATAATGTTACAGAGATCGAGTCTGTGTGACGCGACCGATTATGCGATGTAACAAGGAATAATGAAGATACAGTGCACGCGATTAGAAAGTTGGACGGTTGGTTTTAAACAAAAACGAGCGACGCGAGAGTTTCCCCGAGTTCGGAGTTACAAGTATTTATTTGGAAGAGCGGCGTGTATTAATGTGTATTAATGCATACTGCACCCTAAACATTACGTTCTCCAGTTTATTCCCATTTGAATTTTATCTTATCGAAAATTTAATGCACGTCGCAATTCAGGGTGTGCCGCGTATTATAAAAACATAAATAATAAGAAATAATCATTTCAAATAAATAATGGAAAATAATAAATCTCGATAACTTTGTGACAAAAAATATTTAAAACAAATTTTTTCACATTTCGACACTCAAGAGAATTAATACCTCTCACGAATCCTTCTATTTTTTATGAGCATACGCATCGCGTAAAATCACGTTTAATTCGCATTGAATTCTGTTTTCTCGTATATTGCTCGACATGATACAAAATTAAATGTGCTTTAAAGGACTACGGCTATAATAGACGCAAAGCGAAAACTTGCAGTTATGTTAAAGTAATGTCAACAAATGGAACAGTTCGAAAAATAGGTCGACTGCGAATTATTAATGGACAGTAATGGAGATATGCGATATCGGAATGAAGGATATAATATTTTCCAGGATATTTCTGGGACAGTATCTACGAACGTATATCTATTTTTCGAGTACACGTATTCGCGACGCTTTGTTAACGGAATAACATCGAGATGAATCTACCCTCACTATTCAGTATTCGAAAGCGTATCTCGTTACAGATTTTAGTTCTCGAAATAGCGGAGCAGTATCGCTGATATGCATCTCAGTATTACGGGGAGTGGTTCTATATCGTAAAGCGAAACGGCCGTTCTATCACAGAACAATATTACTGTTCGTAACTTCGCTCGTCTTCATCGATAATGCATCACTGAATATGAAAATGAAGCGACATTATTGGAGACAAACCGTCTGATGTAAATTCTGCGTGCAATAAAAATATCGCGAGAAGATTTATACATATAGCTACTTTATTAATTTACTTTTGGACGATATCATGTAGATCATATTTAAAGATGCGTATTCTGTTAAAGATTTTTTGATAAATTTAACGCTAGACGTGTCATTTTCATTGAGAATTTTACCAAAATTTAAAGCTTGGAGATCTAGCGAGATCTCATAATGAAAATAAATTGCAGTTCGCCGAGGTGGAACAGTCCCGTTGAAACGCAGCGATGCCAAGGTCGTTCTTGTAACAGGAAACTGGGGTCAGAGACTGCAAAGGTACTTTGATATAAGCGTAGTCCATCATAACGAGGAAATGCTGGGCAGGCACGAGCAAAAACCGACCAATTCAAACTCCTTGTTAAGATATAGGATACTGAATGCAAGTTATGCAAGGCATGTTTCACGGAATGTGGAGCTACAAAAACGCGTTTTCTCATCAATAATTTTTCCCATGAGATTCAAACCGGCAGCCAGCTACAGAATTTAAAACAATTTTAGTCTCCTGGCATATTAAATTTCAATACTGTAAATCGATAATAAGAATAAATATACATACATTTAGCAATATTAAATGGATTTTATTTTAATGGCATATTCTAATCCGAGATTTAGTTGCGAAACGTTTAATACGTTTTTAAAGAATTTGTGCTAGACATCTACGGAAAATCATTTACGGATTAATCTGGAGAATTAATGCATCTTTGATACATTTGCTATATATTTAACGAAATATTCGCGATATTGCCAATGCAATATCGAGAGATGCAAATAGTCGCGGGAAAAGGTCGCGAATCGGGAACGTTTAGCCTCGGCAAATGCAATCGAACGAGATTATTTATCCGACGGGGTATATGCCGCGAATCCTGAAAAATACACGTGCGACCGCAATAAAGAGATTGGCATGTCCGCGCATTTCGCAGGCGAATTTATTTTCCCTCGGAACCACCACACGCGTTCGCGATCGGTAAACACCGCATTGTAAATTAACATCGCTCCATGAAACTCAGGGGCGATTTGCCTCCACGTTCTCCCTCGGGAGAACCGAAATACTTTTCGATGAGCAAACGTTTAATTGAAACTAGTTGGATACGTCGCGGCGTCGGTGTTCGCAAAATATCAGATTTGAACCTTTATAGTTTTTTGCGAAAAATGTATTTGTTCAGAGAAAAGTTGAAAAATTATTCTGCGCAGATTATATATATTATATAAATTAATATAGGAATATATATATATATATAAAGAAATTAATTTCATACATGTCGAGATCTCTCTCACAAGACTTATTTATTTTATTTTTAGTCAATCTCTTAAAAATTGTCTTTTCCTTTTATTTTTATTTATTCGTTTAAATTTTTAAAACTTTTAAATTTTATATATTTTTTTGTATATTGTTTTCAGAAACTTGTAATAATGAATATTACTGTTTGCAATATATTGATATTGACACAGTGTGTAATAAAGTATACTATGCACATAAAGTATTTGTAGCTGCAATATAGCTCCGCATTTCCCTTTTCTACATTTCTTGTAGTTCTGTGCTATTTGTAATAAATATCGTGCGTTGTAAATCAATAAAATTTTTCCAGAAGTTTCGTGCATCCCATATTTTTACGTAAACAGCACATTTCAGATATATTTATTATATTCGCATTAAATATAAAATAAAAATCGGACGCACAAAAACATCACAATTTCGACATTTCGTTACAAACGGTTACAAACAAACGAGAGGATACGTAACCGCGTTGTTACGAGCCGCGATTTATCTCTCTCATTCATTATTCCGTTTAAGAAATATAAGCGATGCTTAAAATCCCTTTGAATATTAAACTCGAGACACGTGAGCGGGAACGCCAAGTATCTCTCGAACGTAATGAAGCCGCGTATCACAGAGAAAAGTATTCTCTACACGGCAATTAAGTCCAAAAGTAAGCGATCGCGTACGCGCGCGTTGGTTCAAAATTAATGCGCGGTTCCCGCGCGCGTGAAGGCCGACGCACGTGACGCGCGTCTCGTGACTCCGAAACGGGACGAGCGGGAGAAAGAGAGAGAGAGCGACGTAAACATAAACTTGCCGCGATTCGAAATAATTCTCACGATAAATGCAACGTACCGCCCCTGACCTTTGCGTTCCGCGACATCGCGTAAATTCACGCGCTCGTTCCTTTTTCGTTTCTCAACGGGAGAGAAACGACGCTTTCCTGTAACGAAAACTCCGACCGCGAGCGTAGACCTTTGTCGCTGAAATTCAAGCGACATTCACGGCCTCGCGGAGAGAGGTCTCGCTGCCTAACGGTATTCGCGTAAGTATCTCGACTCGGCGACCAGACAGCGAACAGGACGATCACATGTCGACGCGCGATCGGAGCACTCGGAGCAACGTACTACTATCACGCACTCGCGATTATTACGACGAAACGAAATCTCACTCACCTTTCCGCGTTCGTCGGGATCGCCGTCGGTCGAGTCCCTCTCGCTCCGAGTCCACGCCTCGTCGCTGAGAAAGTAACGCGGAAAACGAAGAGGATGCGCGTGCACGGCGAGCGGCCCGCTGCTGCTGCCGCTGCACCCAGCTGCCCTCGAGAGTTCGCGCGGACGCTGCGAACGTGTCGCGTCCTCGTGTTCCGCGTTAGGTCCGCATCGGCCGCGACCTGCAGACTGTCGAACGAGGGACGACGTCGAATCGTCGTCGTCGTCGTCGTCGTCGTCGCGCGCGCGCGAGTAACCACACCGAGCGAGCGTATCCGCCACGATCTCACTCGTACGACGGAGCACGGATGACTGACTGGTAGACGGTTGGTCGGTCGGCTCGCTCTCCGCGCCCCTCTGCCCGCGTCCCGCCGCTCCGTTCGCCGTCTCTCTCTCTCTCTCTCTTGCTCCCGGTTTTCCCCCCTCTCCCGCGCGCCCCCCCTTTCCGCCGACCATTTCGCGCCCACGACTCGACCCGCCGCGGTCCATCCCCACCATCGATGGTTCGGCGGCACCCCCGCCGCCACCTTTCCCCGTCCGCCCAGTGTTATGCAGCGTATTTTCGGTCTCTCTCGAATCTCCTCCGAAACCCCCTCGATCTCCCTCTCGATCTCCGGTCTCTCGTCTCTCTTCGGTCTCTCTCTTTCTCTCTCTCCCTTTTTCTCTCGGATTCGCCGGGTCTCTCGCGCCAACGTGCCGCGCGCGATCTCCCTTTCTACCGTTCGTGCCCGGATGAGAGCAGGAGCGAGAGGGTGAACGAGAGAACGAACGGGCGGACGTGGCGGATGCCAGTGTCGGAGTAATGGCACAACCAGACCCCACGGCTTTGATTTTCTTTACGCGTTCGTTTCCACAATTTTCTCTTGATCCCTCTCGCGCTCGCGCTTCTTTGATTTATCCCCCCTGTATAGCGCCGAGTCTTTTAATTCTCATTTCAATTTTCTATCGCGGTTTTTTCCCCGGACACTTTACTTTCTCGTCCGAGAGAGAGAGTTCTCGGGCTCTTTTTTGGAATCCGAAACGATTTCCGAGTTGCGGAAAATACGTTCTTGCTGACCGGCAAAAAGCAAAAATGAGAATGATGATATGTAGGTCAGCGCCGGTAAACGGCGCGGTTTTAATATCGAGATATATATGCGGCCGAACTTTTCTATTCGATATACAGTTCGGTATATATTCATTTTTTTATATTTTCCGTCGCGCTATATCTCTTGTCGAAAAGCCGCGCGCGCGCGCTGCATTTTCTTTATTGGAATAATTATTTTACTGTAATGTCACGCAAATTCCGCGGCAGAAAATGCAAATAAAAATATATCTGACAGGTCACGTTGCAGGATATGGCGGAGTCAAATTTATCGACCTGTAAAATGCAGACTTGATATCGTGAAACCTTGAAATATTGTTGTTCGGTGTGTACGCGCGGCGAGTTCTTTTTCGAAAATAATTATTATTAGCGGAATAAATATTTTCACGCAGCGTCACGTATAATCTGCGGAAAGATATGATATATGAATAAATACTTATGGATGTACGTTATTCCGGTATTTATCAGCGCGTTGAATTATCTTAATTCGACGGATTAATTTTTGGCTGCGTCAATGAAAATGTACATTCGAATGCATCGGTATATTAAAAATCAAGATTTATATATTTTTTTGAAAGAAATAATAGTTTCTCGTGTAACCCGATAAACTGACAAGACCGCGCTTTACCTGATGTTGTTCATTAACCCGAGATATTAATTCCCGCGGATTATTGAATAAGGAAGCGTACGCAAGAGTTGCGGAAACTTCTGCAGCGAAATTTCGGAACGGGGTCAAAGTTGCCGTTAATTTCATTAACTTGCCGACTATTAATCCGAACTAATGCAGCGACGAAAATATTTATTCTGTACCTTGAAATGAAATTATGCAAATATCGGATTCTATGTTTTGTCTGATATGAAGCATTAGCTTAATTGGCTTTTAGTGAGAATCTACCTTTCGGCTCGAATACCGTTAATGATGTCGATAACGCGGAATATTAAACGCGCCATATGCAGCTACAAAATCAATCATTATAATTTAAGTATCTTAATTTCTCAATATTCGATAATTGTCTATCATAGTCCAGCGTTTAATGCCTATTATATTAAAATGGCTATTGATTTCATTCCATTGATATGATACGTTATTGCGCAGCGCATTTTACCGAAGGGTCTCAGTTAACATGTTTGTTTCCATTCGGATCTCTTTTTTTTTTCACAATCACGCAGGGTCCGCGATAATACTCGAACATTCCTGGGAGTTCCGGCACGCTCTTCCCTCTCTTGCCTTCTCGTTTATTCCTTCTCTTATTTAGCTTCTCCTTCTGACTCCTTCAGATACATAAACACTCGCATACTCTACTCCAGTGAAAACCTTCAGCCACCGGAACGGATAGTAGCTCCTTTCTCAGTCGGGATCATTCGGCAACCGCGCACTCTGTGTCCTACCTGATGTACACCGTCTCGTCATTCTAGGGTCAGACACGGACACTGGCTGTGTCGACACGCCGAGGAAGATGCCTTGAATTCTATGCTGTATTTGAAATCCGAACAAGGGCACCGGCCAGACTCGATCGAATCCTGATGTGGTTGTGGGCATATCCCTTCTACATCTCACTTCGCTTTCCTTCTCTCTCTCCCTCTTGGCCTTCCTCCGCGTACGCCCGTGTATATACAAGTAGTACCAGCAACCAAGTCCTTTTTCTCTGTTCTCTGTTCTCTCACTCTCTCCCTTCCCCTCTCCCTGACCCATCTCTATAACAGACCATTTCCCTTTCTCCTTCTCTCGCCGCAACTTTCCAGCCGTGTACTTCGCCTCCGTATTTTCCGACCCTGATATCTCCATCTCGTTTTATATCTTCCCTGCAAAAGTGATTCGGCGACAAAGAAGCAAGAATATCGAATGTGAATGTTAAGCACCGCGGCGCACGTTCCGATGAAGCGAATGGGAAGTTACACCCCTCGTTCTTCCTTCCTCCTTCGGAGCTGCTTGGGACTCCTCTCAGATTCGTGCATCTTCTCCATGTGTTTATACTATGTGTTTGTGTAAGTGCAAACCGTATGTATCGTTTTGTAACGCTTTAATCCGCGCGATTAAACAAAAGGAGCACCATCGTATCTTCGCAATTTGTTCATCGAATTTATAGCGAATAATGAATTCACCTCAATGGATTCTTTTAGAAATGTTAATTAACATTTAACGTATTGTAAAAATTAAAAATTAAAAGTCTTAAATAAAAGATTTACAAGTTAGCAATGTTGCAAATAAATTTTACTCAAAAGAACCTCAATTACAGATATCTTAATTGTTCAACTTCTGACCAAGTTAATTTATATTTATAATTCTTTATAGCTCAGAAACATGATTTCTGTTTCAACTCCTGCATCACCTTGGGATATACTTTCGATGTAACGCATATCATGTGTACTGCATATTATATTATGTATCGTGCAAAATAAAATGTCGACACAGATTGCTTTTACAAGGATTACGACAGTAAAATTATGTCTCTCTTCTCTCTTTCTCTTTCTCTTTCTTTATATGATGCGCATCCATGAACGCGTCCCATATTTTCACCAATAAAAAACCTTCATTCCTCAAAGTCGGCTGTACGTATGATAAGATGCTTCGAAAACAAATTCATCAAATACCAGAGCGAGAGACCGTTTTCCTAGCATGACCTGGATCTTAATGTTTCCCTCAACATTTTCTTTCGTCTTTCACCGTTTCCTGAAAATTCAATCCTTCTTTTTTTTTATCATTTTTCGCGCCTATACATAACCGAAACCTTTTTTTTTCGATCTAGTATCTTCTCTCAGTCTTTAATTCCTCAGCTCACGACATTGCTGACAAAAAATGGCGTCACGTAGAAGAGAACTGCTCTCGTCGTTATCGGCGAACATACGGATATCCGATAGGTAGGATATTATACGGATCCTCGTTATCGGCTCCTTTCTGAGCGTGTATTCTATGCTTCGCGAGTCAAACGATCCTTCGACATGTTTCAATTCTTTTATCGGCTGGTTATTGTGCGAGGGCGTGCAGAAGAAAGCTTTTTCATTATTACATTTTTTGCGCTGTTCAAAGAAAACTTTATAATTACTGTAAAGACTATAAGATCTTAAATAATGAAGAAATATATTCGGGCAATATTGCGTTACAGCGCACGATGGATTCTCTTTTTATTAATTTTTCTTATCTAAAAGAACGTAAAGAGAAAATAGATATTTAAATATAAAATGCCAAAATTGATGCCACACGTATATATCACAAGGCCATTGTGATTTTGTGCCGTTTATATTCTCTTATAATATCAAATAATTATCGAACTTTCACTTGACAGTCATAGCAATACGAAGGAATTAATTTACGTGAAAAATGAGACGGGACGTGCAGTTAACATTATAAAGCTTTTTGCCAGGATTACTATGCAGACCTTCAATATTTATAGAATTTATCGTGAATAATTGATGCCTAAAGTGCAAAATCTTGTACGTTGGCGTGCCATATTTTTTGAAAATTCCACAGACGATCCGGCTATTATCTCTGAGCGCGATGTTCTTCACGAATAAGTAATACTCGAGACATGTAATATATTTTATGCAAATCTAAAGACGAGCCAACGATTACGCGTAATTAAAGAACGTCCTGAATAAAAGACCAAAGTCAGCGTCGCAAATGACAGATAATTACTGAGAATAACGCATCAATTGTCAACAGAAAATCCATAAACGGTATAATCAGATCTCACTCGAATCTTTCTTTCATATTTTTTTTCTTTCTGGTCGACAAACGGCAAATCGATAATGAATCGCGCATGAGATAAGGTATTGCAAAGGAAATCTTCTGAGCATCTGCGCTCGCAACAAAACTCGCCTCAATTACATTTAACAAAAGTCTCGATTAATTCGATATTTCTCGTCGCTATCATTGTAAACGCAGCTGCCGATCCGCATTTCGTAATTACAATTCGATCCCTTCTTTTAATCGACATTTTAACTCCCGGGAATTTCATTACAATCAAAATATTGCGAGAAAGAGAAGATCTTTTACCGTTTGGTAATTTGTTGCAATAATTGAAGCGAGCAGATCGGATTGGAAATAAAATACATCAGAAAATAATAAATATTAGAGCAAAAGAAATTATTTAACATTTTACAGATGTTAAAATAATAACGATAAAATAATAAGAGCAATACATATAATACAACAAAATAATACGTAACGAATTGAAATAATTGCAAACAAAAATAAAGCTGCAGCT